AAAAAAAAAAAAAAAAAAAAGAAGACATCAACCTTTTAAACTTTTATGTGTATGCGTGCTTGCCTGCTGTATGTGCCCATGGAGGCTAGAAGAGGGCACCAGACTCCCCAAACTGGAGTTACACATGGTTGTGGGCCACCCTGTGGGTGCTGGGAACTGAACCCAGGTCCTTTGCAAGAACAGCCAGTGCTCTTAACTTCTGAGCCATCTCTGCAGCCCCTGTAATCAATTAATTGCCTTTTGACAACGGAGCCAGGAACACAATGGAGAAGGGACAGTCTTCAGTAAATGGTGCTGAGAGAACTGATTTCCACACACAGAAAAGTAAAATGAAACGTTTACAACACATAGAGAATCAACTCTCAAATGGATTGCAGGCTTAATCCATAAGCCTGGAACTGTAGCTGTCAGGAGACAGGGGGATGCTGCTTGGACATGGCCCCCAAAGCACTCTTATATTTATTGGTAACATTCACAGGAACCAAAAAATCTAATGTCCATTAGTGGATGAATGGACAGAGAAAATGGGATAGATACACATGGAATACTACTCTGCTTGTGTGTGTGTGTGTGTGTGTGTGTGTGTAAGGCAGTCACCCCAGGCTGGCCTTGGGCTCATGGTAATTCTGCCTCAGCCTCCCTAGTGCTGTGACTACAGATAAGAGTCGCTATGCCCAATTACTATTCATTAGCCTTTCTTTAATGTGGTGTGTGTGTGTGTGTGTGTGTGTGTGTGTGTGTGTGTGCGCGCGCGCTTGTGCCAGCCCATGCACAGGTATACACATGTAGTAAGAACTCGGGAGTCAGTTCTCTCCTTCCATGTTGTTTCGATGCAGGGTCTCTCATTTCATCCACTGTGCTGTGCACTGTAGGCCCCTGCCTGGGCCTCAAATCTCAGTTTGGGACTGCTAGGATTACAGATGTGAACTGCTGCCTCTGACGCCTATGTGCCTTCCAGGGATGGAAATCATGTCATCAGGCATGCTTTTACCCACTGAGCTGGCTCCCCTGCCCCTACAAAAACATCTTTCAGCTAGGTGGTGGTGGTGGTGGTGCACTTCTTTAATCCCAGCACTCAGAGTCAGAGCCAGGTGGATCTCTGTGAGTTCAAGGCCAGCCTGATCTACAGAGCTAGTTCCAGGACAGTTAGGACTGTTACACAGAGAAACCCTGTCTTGAAAAAATTAAAAAAAAGCAAACAAAAAAGTGAGTTTCACTATAACACTTCCATATGTATATGCCGGTACATTTTATTATTTCCTTCCAGTGCCCTCCTGTCTTCCAGCACCTGCTGATCCCGTTTTCCAATTTAATGCTTAATAAATAATTGGTTTTGTCTCATGCTAACGATTGTAGCTCTGATGATACACGCTCGTATTGTTCTTTCCCCCACTTTAATAAGTGGTAGGCAAGTTCTTTCCCCCACTTTAATAAGTGGTAGGCAAGTTGCTGTAGGTTAAAAACTGTTCTATCTGGTGTGCAGGAAATATTCTTATCCAGCCCCTAGAGTTGAGTACTGTCCAGCTTCTATGGACAGGAAACACTGCCTTACACAACATACTTCACAGGCTCAGCCCTTTAAGAGGTTTGAAAAAACCTGGGCGTGGTGGTGGTGGTGGTGGTGGTGGTGGTGGTGGCAGCGGCGGGCGGTGGTAGTGCATGCCTTTACTCCCAGCACTTGGGAGACAGAGGCAGGTAGATCTCTGTGAGTTTGAGGCCAGCCTGGGCTACAGAGTGAGTTCCAGGACAGCCAGGGCTACACAGACCCTATTTCGAAAAAACAAAACAAAACAAACGAAAAATATGGAAAAGTACGACCCTAGTATAGGCTTTCAAGCTGCTTTCTATAACCTCACTAGCAACCTTAGCTCCAGGCGGCTGTCAGCAGCTACAGCCTGCACCTGCGCCCTTTTGTCAGCCAATTTAGAGAAATGCTTGCCTCATTTGACTGGAAAGGAGGGGTCTGACAGATCTGGGTTTCTGTCAAGCAACTAGACTTCCCAGGCCTGTGGGAGGGTTAAATACTCGGCCCTCGGGCTGCGCTAAACGCCCTGCAGGAGGCAAGGTTTCCGGAGACGCACAAGGCGAGGCGGAGCCAGACTTGGCAGCGACCAATTGCAAGCAGGGCAGGCGGTGTCACGCCCCAGCCCGTGTCTGAAAAGGGCGGAGGAAGGCCCCGGGGACACGCGCTAGGGGTCGCCCGATGCTCCTGCGCCTTGCACCGGGACCGCGCTCGTCCTCTCGTAGGCCATGCGCGCTCTGCGGGTCGGTCTGACCCTGGCGCTGGGCGCGGGGTTGGGGGCGGCGGCAGAGCACTGGCGGCGACGGGCTGGGAGAGCGCCGGGGCTGCTGGGCCGGGTGCCGGTGTTGCCCGTGGTAGCGGCCGAGCTGCCCGCGCTGCCTGGCGGGCCGGGGGTTGGCACTGGGGAACTGGCCAAGTACGGGCTGCCCGGCGTGGCGCAGCTCCGGAGCCGGGCGTCCTATGTGCTGAGCTACGACCCGCGCACGCGCGGTGCGCTCTGGGTCTTGGAGCAGCTGCGGCCCGAGCGGCTCCGCGGCGACGGCGACCGCAGCGCCTGCGACTTCCGAGAAGACGACTCTGTGCATGTGTACCACCGTGCCACCAACGCCGACTACCGCGGCAGCGGCTTTGACCGCGGCCACTTGGCCGCCGCCGCCAACCACCGCTGGAGCCAGCGGGCCATGGACGACACCTTCTACCTGAGCAACGTGGCCCCGCAGGTAGCCGTGGTCCCCGGGCTCCTGCCCGACTGCAGCGCCTAGGTCTGAATTTACACGTGCACCGTAGTGGGAGAGACGGGGTTTGAACTTACACGGAGTGCTGGGCAACACTCCTGTGGGAAACAGCGCTATCTCCCCAGTCTGTAAGCTACCCGGTTACTTGCGGAGGGAACCCGGGAGGTCGCCTGCTCCTACTCCGTATTCCCAGCTGGCCTGCAGCAGCTGCCAGGAAAACAGCGGGCACGAAGTTGAGCTGTTGGTGCCAGTCACATGACCCTGGACACATTGTTAGCACTGCACCTGCTCCCGGGAGGGTTGTGATAGGTGAACTAGAAACATCCACCCAGTGGCCGGAGATGGACAGGGAAGGCCCCCCAACTCCACCCCACCCCCAGTGCTTGCTCTGAGGCCTGTCAAGGGACCTAGGGGATCTCTAAATGATTAATGCTCCCTCCTTCCCCGGTTCTTTGAGCTGGGGAAAACTTAAGGGATTTGGAGTGCCTAGGAACGGATGGCGGGTGGCCAGCCGTGGACGGTCCCATGAACGCTCAACCCCTGTAGTCACAGAGCCTCAGGGAGCGACTCCTTTGAGCCTTAGTCCTCCACGTGCTTGGCCATCTCCTTAGGACCTGGGGTATTCCTAACGAGGAAGGTCCCAGGTGTGGTACTGAGCCTGGCTTCTCCACCAGGTGCCGCACCTCAACCAGAATGCTTGGAACAACCTTGAGAAGTACAGCCGCAGCCTGACTCGCACTTACCAAAATGTCTATGTCTGCACAGGGCCCCTTTTCCTGCCCAGGTAAGTCTGTGGCTGACAGGGCCTTCCAATCCTGTTCTCCGACCTTGGGTGGCCTAGAACCCTCCTGTGTCCACAGTTGCTGGGCCCCAAGTCTGCCTCTGCTCCCCTTTTGACACACGTCACTGCACCAGACTCTCACCTGTGCTGGGCCTGAAGCACTCCTTCCCAAGGTCAGCCCTGCCGGACAGGTGAGCTAAGTTCCTCTGAACATCGGAGAGCCTTGTGATCAGCTCAGGCCGGGTAGGCCGCTGCTGAGGTCTTGTATAATATTAGAGGGACCAGCCTTAATATTATACATCCCAGGGGCTCAGGAGAGAGAACTACTAACAGCGAGGACTATTATCAGGAAATATAATCTCAGCACACCGAGTTCTATAGTCCACTTGCTTTAATTCCTCTGGCATAACATCCTTTATACACAGTTCAGTTCATGTCTAGCTCCTTTCTTGCCTGATTTCTCTCTATATTTATCTACTGTCCCCTCTAGGTTCTATCTTAATTCCTTCATCTAGTTCTGTCCCTTCTAGGTTCTCATCTATCTAGTTCTTTCCCCTATCAGCTCCTCTCCCGTCTCCTTCTCTCTCATCTGGCTCTTCCTCATCTTCCATCTCGTTCCTCTAGTCCTCTCTTCTAGCCCTTCAATCTAGTTCTTCCCCATCTCAGTTCGTTCCTCTCAAGTTCTTACCCATCTAGTAC